GGAGGGGTAAGTGGAAGGAGGTGAGGGAGGAATGGGGTACGAGCCCCTGATTGGGAGGACTGGGGTGGCTCTGCAGGCTCCTCGGGGTGGAAGCTCTCCTGCAGCCCCCCGATTGACTCCCCCCCCCCGGATGGCAGCCTGTGGCAAGTGCAGCCCGGCTGATGGCCGAGATCTGTGATGTGCCGAGTGTGGGCATTCAGGGCACTCCAAGACAGGACTGCTTTGCTGTCCCTCATCGAGTTAGACAAGCGAGCGGGGAACCCCTGAGGACTGTCTGTCCGGGGTGGGGGTCGGGTCCCTTTAAGCACAGCGCTCGGCTAGCCTGAGAAAGCAGCTCCATGCTCTAAGTCCTAACCTGAGTCCCTGCCGGCACTGCTTCCGGCCATCCTTAACCTCGGTTCAGGGTCCACTCAATGTGGACATGCTAGTTTTTAGGTCTAGATGCACTAGTTCAAATTAGCTTAGTTCGAATTAACTAATTCCAATTAAGATAGTTTGAATTATTGCTGTACTGTAGACATACCCCATTGCACTAGGAGTAACTGTTAATTCGAGAGAAGGGTTTTTGATCAGACTACCGCATCTCTACGTGGTGAGTTAATTCGGGCGACCGACATTTTAAAATGGCGATCGGCCACCAATATGCTAATCAAGCGCGGGATATTTACATCAGCGCTTCATTAGCAACTTCGGTATGCTTCATTTGCCTCCCTAGTTAGAACTAGGGGGCAAGTGTAGACATACCCTCTGACTCCTGTAAACCTCATTGTACAAGGAATCAGGAAAGTCAGAGGAAGAGTGCTGTATTTTGAAATAAGTGCTATGTAGACACTCCCTATTTTGAAATAAGCTATTTCAAATAAGCTATTTCAAAATAAGATATACAATTGACATAGCTCAATTTGTATAGCTTATTTCGAGTTAAGCCCTACAGCGTGGAAGCTCCCAGCATCGCTTTCAGAAGAGAACCTAATTTTAATTTTTTTTCCCATTCACATCACTATCTGGAAATTGAATATTCATACAGAATTACTTAAGAATACATAAAAACAATGATCAGTTCTGTGGCACCGTACAGACTGAGTGATTTTTATCCATGAAAGCTCAGGATCCTATACCTTTGTTAGTATCTAAGGCTATGTCTACACTATGGCTACGTCTACACTGGCCCCATAAAACAGAATTGTCATGCAAACCAGATAAGTCAGAATAGGGAAATCCGCGGGGGATTTAAATATCCCCCGCGGATTTAAATAAAAATGTCTGCCGCTT